TTATGTGAGAGCTTTTTACTGTAGTAAAAAAGTTAAATGTGATTGTTTGTGAGAGCTTTTTACTGTAGCAAAACTCGAATTCTAAAACTCGAATCAGCGAAATGAACGGAGAGATCAAGTTGATAGGTTAAGGCTGACTTGGATTGCCACTTCGAATTTGGATAAAGTACTGCATGATTCGAAATTTAAAATGGTTGACAAATCCAAATTAATGGAGGAGGAAAATTAATCATGTGGAGTACAAGAACGTCCGAATCAAGCTTGGTTTATTCTTGAGATATATATATGTATGTATATATATATATATATATAGATTGTACATGTACGTGGAGAGGTTTGGCTTGCTTTATGATTGGTTTGGAAGGTGTTGTACAAGAAACAAATATGGGATATAGCTTGACAGCTTGCGTACAGGAATTGATTTGAAATTCAAATGTGGTGATCAAGCTATTCATTTGAAGTTAATTTGAAATCTGAATAAAGATAGGGTCTGCGAGTATATAATTGTGAGTAATTAGTCAAGAGAAAATCATGGGAAAAAGTGTAGGATATTCAAATTGAATTTGAATTTATTCTCGGAGGATGTTGTGAAGCCTCGTCTTTTTGCAACTCATTTTGACACAGATTGAATAGAATATTTTCAGAGAAATAGTCTGTGAGTTTGAGAGTTTTGAGTGTCATTAATTTTGTCATTCGAGAGAGGGATTAGAAGCTTTTGGGAGGGTACTGCCAGTCGAATGAATTTCGCCGTGCAGTTTTAAAACGAGTGGTATTCGCTGGACAATACTATTAAAGAGATTCAACATGGCGATGACAAAGTCAATGAGAGAATCTTTGGGTGTATAAGTCTAATTGGTGTTTGTAATCTTGAGACTAAGTGCATTGTTCATTGTCTGGATGTGGCCCCGCAGATGTAGGTGAGCGCACTAAACTGTGATACCATATCATGTGTTTTCTATTTTCTGCACTATTATTTTTTACTTGATTACTTTGACGTTTCTGCACATAATAATTATAGTTAATCTTAGTGTTTCAGAAAGTGTTACAACACTCTCTAAAACACTTGCGTAGAAAATATAGTTAATGGTTAGTGTTTTTTTGTGATTGCCACACCATATATATAGTAATTATGGTAATTGCTAGAAATCAATACTGTCGCTACTGTAATGTTATCATGAAACACCTTTTTAGTGTTATATAATAATAAGACATTAACTTTGAATACAAACAATCTTTCTAACTTTGGAGAATAAGTTTTACCATCTCTCTCCTTTTTACTAGTTGTCCAGCAAAATTTGATTGTTGGACTCGTATTCATACGTGAAAAATTTTGTTGGTTCAAATTTGTAGTTTCAGACATGAAAATTCAACCAATCCCCACAATGTAGTTTGTGTAGATTTTATAGAAGTTAGTCATTGATTCATTGAGATTGCAGGTATAATTAAACAGTAATTCTGCACGTGAATATACTATAAGGTGTAGAATTGAAATTCCCCACCTGTGTCAAAAAAAAAAAAATAAAGTTGATGCCAATAAACAAGACTCATTTTCCACCAATTTATACGCAGACAAAAAGAAAACAAAAAAAAAAGGAAAAAGAGAGATAGAGAAAAGTATGGATTCAGCTGGAATATGTACTAAATCCCATTGTTGAGGTTCTTAATTCTTATACTGCAGTTGGAATATGCAAAAGAAATCTCTGTATTGGACAGCTCTTATTTTATCTGCCATATTTCATTTCAGGCTTTCAAAAAAAAAAGGAAAAAGAGAGATAGAGAAAAGTATGGATTCAGCTGGAATATGTACTAAATCCCATTGTTGAGGTTCTTAATTCTTATACTGCAGTTGGAATATGCAAAAGAAATCTCTGTATTGGACAGCTCTTATTTTATCTGCCATATTTCATTTCAGGCTTTTAGCCGTTGGAATTTTGGAAATATGTACTGTATCTTATTGTTGTTACATAATTTACATGCAAAGGACCATTCCAAACCATGGTAACGAATTACTTGAACAACAAAATTATGGAGGCAGCACTACTTGCTGGCACAATATCAGATCCGAAATGGTCTTGCCATGGCGATCGATCCTTCTGGAGCAGTTGACGCCCCCATCTAGAATGTTCCGAACCACAACATTCAAAGATTTGATTCCTCTAACTTCATAAATTTGCACTTTGACATGTTCATTAACCCATTTGTCTCTTTCATTGATAGCGTTGGACTCGAGAAATGAAGATTTGTTTAGAAGAGCTGAGACTGCTTCCTTTACCCACTGGGGCGTTATGACCAACTTCAACCTCTCAATATCTGAAGGGAAATGTGGGATGAGAGAGAAGTTTAAGTCATTCCCTTTGTCTCCAACTCTGCTATGCGCCACATCATAGAGTGGAATCTTTTTGCCAGAGGGAGCAGGAGATGTATCGCCTTCCGAAAATAAAATATGATCCAAAGATTCTTGTAAAACAGGCCGTTTCGTGAGCTCTTCACTGCTATTTCTCAAGTTATTTGATTTTGTCACTACAGAGCGCTTCACTGCAACCCTCCACGAAACATGTTCACGACAGACCTGAATACGTGCAACATAGACTGCTATAATAACTTGATTCAAAGTGAACTTTGGAAGTTAGCATTACAATGTGTAAAGGAAAAAGAATAGCAAAACATGGAGAAAGAGAGCGAACATAATGATTACTTGAATCTGATGGGGCATAGTAACTTATGGTAAATGTTCCATTGAAGTTTCAAGTTCTTAAAAAAAAAAGGTTACACACAATAAAGAAGATAAAATATTTCAGTATGGCGACGGAGAGTACCAATTGCTTTTCAAGAATGATCTCTTTCTTCTGCCCAACACTGCATTCAGAAATCACACCCCAAAAAAAAAAAAAAAATGGTCAGGCTAGAGTGCAAAAGTGAGGAAGAAAAAAGAAAAAGTTGAAAGCCTTTATAAGAGCATTAGAATGAGAAAATGCATATCGTAAACCCCAGAAACTCTAAGCAACAGTGAGGAAGAAAAAAGAAAGTCAAAAGCCTTTATAAGAGCATTAGAATGAGAAAATGCATATCTGTAAACCCCAGAAACTCTGATTCGCGGAGTCAAAGTAAAATGCGCAGCTCTATGCCCTCGAGAATTAGTGCTTTTTACCGAAACTGCGGTTCTGCAGCTGAGGTGTTGACTTTTTTTCCCCTTCCACAGGGAATAATCTTAAGCATCATCCTATGGGATAACATCAGGGTGGTCACGAAACAAAAAATCGATGCTTTAATTTTGTAATCCAATCAAGTTCTAGTGATATCTAAAATCCCTATTATACATCTCAACATGAGATGATTTAGATCTACCAAAAATGTTTTTAACTAACCCACGACCTCGAGACTACTTCGTAAGAGAAAAAGGCCCTTCCAACTTTGAGGCGAGTACAGCATGTCCAATCAATTTTAAGTTACGCTATCATTATATGTTGTAAAATTTAGTATTTCAGGGTCTCAGAATCCAACATGACGAGCTCTAATGCACTTTAAATGGAAGCACGTCAACAGCAAATTCAACTCACTATTTAAATTTTTGTCCAGGTTTTAATGCTGGAAACCAATTAATCTGAACATGAAGCCGTAAGGGTTGTGAATTTATAATCATCAACAATGTCATGAATAATGAAATGAACGGAAAAGCTGATAAGAACTCGACCTGATACCCCCACCACCAGCTGGACCATTAGTATATAATGCTGTAAACTCCCTTGTAAATTGAACTGCATGTTCCTTCAGCTCAAGTAAACCATCCATGCGTAACCTTATATCTTGATGATCTTCTCTACTCTTCAGAGACGAAGTGTCCTCGCCAGTGCTAATTGCTTTCAGACTGTCAACGCCGATTATATAAGAAAATATGCGACTGTTAATGCCAGGCAATATTTCTTCCAACCATGATCTGACCTAATAATTTAAAAAGAAGAATTAAATGAGTTGGAACTTTGAAGCTTGAAATTAATAAGGAAAGAATTAATATGTTGACAATCACTCCAGTCAATAACTTTTTACTCATTTGAACAGCCTTACTACAGTAGTAGTGACAAAATCTAGACTTATCTACCAGAAATTCAGCAGCCTTAGCACGTTTAACACATTCATGTCCTCCATAAGACACCTCTCCCCATCCTTTCCAACCGCAGTCCTAAAAATAAGAAAAACAATAATCTTCAAATTACATGAGATTCAGTATAAAAGTGTACAACTATCCATGAATGATCATATCAGATGACACAACAGAGGAGGAAATAGATAAAATGTTTATATTTGGTACATGCTACCAGACGAGTGCAACATATCTAGTCAACAGAAGGTTTCAATCTCCCGTCATACCCAAAATGACTCCCATTGAGGAGAGAGTCCGGCTCACCTTATGCGACATCAGTCAACCATATTTACATTAAACATAAAACACAAACGATTATTTTTGCAGCAGAATAGTAGAGAATTTTGATTCATTGAAGATTCATTAAGCAGTCCTTGATCAAAGTGTTATTTTCTGATGTAACCAGGAATTGGGCCCCTTTTTTGTAGGCCTTACCCGATTTTCATAGACGAGGACATCTCTTTCTCTTTCTTGTACATATTTCTTTTATTAATATAGAGTATCTTGTTATATATATATATATATACACACACACACATATATATATATACATATATATATATACATATATATATATATACACACACACACACACACACACACATATATATATACACACACACACACACACACACATATATATATACACACACACACATATACACACACACACACACACACATATATATATAACAGGCAAAGTAATAAAAGGTAAAACTATATATATACACACACACACACACACACACATATATATATATATATATAACAGGCAAAGTAATAAAAGGTAAAATTTAATCAATTCCGAAGTGACTGCATGTGCACCAGATCTCCCAATAAACCTTTAAAGCATAAGAATGGCACTCATGATCATATTTCTGTTTGTCTTTACATATCAAATCAGCCAAAAACATCAAAAGCATTACCTTTGGAATCAACTGCAGGAGTTTATCAGGAACTAATCCAGCAGCAGGTTTTGCTCCAACACAAAGCACTTTGCAACTTGATTGAGGGGAGAATGAAACATCTCGAAGATCAATAATCTGCATTCAGGGACAAATAAACAAAGATTTAAGTCTTTAATAATTTTCCTTTTTTTTCCCCCTTTTTCCGGTAGAAATGTAAGCACAAAAACTTACCACGTCAGGAGTGACATAGGCACTAGGATCCCCAACTTCATAAAGAAGTTGTTGAGCACAAGTACTGAAATTTAAGACCCCGCCACTACCTTCCGCCTTTGCAACAAGTACGCTTCCATTAGAACAGATTTCAGCATAAGGAAGTGACAAATCAAGAAGTTGAGAGAAAGGCATGTCTCGGTACTTGTCTCCTACAGAAAAAGAAAAAAAATCGAAACAAAAAAGGAAAAAACAAAAACAAAAACAAAAACAAACCACTGTTCTTCATGAAAAAAAAAAAAAGCCATAGAAAAAAGTAGCTTCAGTTCTACCTTGAAAATTTAATTTAGGTTTTGAGCTATTATGGAATCAAAATAAAATGAAAGTTCACCTGGATGCATGAAGTATCCCCCTGTAAGTTGACAGCCACACTCCAAAAGGTGTCCAGCCAATGACCCCTGTGCTAAAAGTTCTAAGTTGTCCCAGTTCCAACCTAATTCATATATCTGTAAATACATAAGCAGAGTAGTTCCAAAAACAGCCTATCTGAACCAAATCAAAGCAGAAATTGTTGGATCATTAATCCAACGTTGGGCTTATATGTGAATAATTATGTGTTGTGGGCTGTCATATAAGGTTAAGCCCAATTAAAAATGATCTACTAAGCTTTGGGTATTTTGGGCTTTAATGTATCTAATAGGGTGTGAGTCTTTAATGTGTAGAGACTTAAGGATAATTTCTATTTTTATAATGGGCTAAAATAGAAACACCAAAAGATAACAGGGAAGTTATCTATATATAGCGGTTATGGTCCCCAGATCGCACGTTACAATCTATTCTTTCTACATCCCATCATCAGAGAGAGTACAGAGAGAGTTAAAGGGTTCTCTAAGAAAACGTGTTGATCTCGAGGACAAACTGAACGGCTCTAGAAAGAAAACAGCAATATGGATTCAGGTACGCTTCCGCTTACAGATTTATTAATTCTTAATGATCTAACATGAATGTTCTTGGCTTTTTGGTGATGGTTTTCACCAAATCATTGATTTCTAACAAGTGGTATCAGAGCCTTTTCATGTTGAATCATTGAGAACAAATTCTGGATGAATTTTTGTTGAATGTATTCCATTTTTTTTCTTTTCGGTTTAAAAAAAATGGAAAAAGGTGTTATTGACCAGCGGCGAGCTTCTGCCGCCGGCACAGTCAAAACCGGCTGCGACCTTGAGGCCGCGCCGGCAAGGGAAGCCGCGGCCTGTTGGCCGCGGCGGGATAAGGGGTGCGGCGGCCTCTTTGGCCACCGCAAAAGGAAGGAAATAAAAGGATAAAGATGGAGTTGGCGGGCAGGCTGGAATGAGGATCTGGGTCGGGTCCGACCCGGTCCAGCCCTGACCCAATTCGGTGTTGACCTTAGGTTGACTTTGACAGTTGACATTAGGTTGACTGACTTTGACTATTTTTTTTTTTGAAGAACTAGGGCCGGCGGCAGCCTCTGCCGCCGCTGGCGCTACGAAAAACCAACACGGCCCCAGGTCGCGCCGGCGACGAAGAGCCGTGGCGGAATGGACAGGCGGCCGCCTGTTGGCGGCTGCAAGCTTCAGGGTCGCAACAGTCTGTTGCAACCCTTTAGGGCAGCAGACTTTGGGCTTCGGCCCAGAGCTGCTAGCAACAAAGCACGAGCCCAATTGGGCCCGTCGCTGAAGAAAGGAGTTGTGGGCTTTTGCCCACAGCTATAGTAATTTTGTCTTTCTTTCTTTAGGCCTTCTGGTTTTGACATGGGCCCAATTGGGCCCGTGACTTGAGATAGGCTGCGGACTTAGCCCGCAGCCATATTAAAAAAAAAAGGGATAAAGATGGAGTTGGCGGGCGGGCTGGAATGAGGATCCGGGTCGAGTCCGACCTTGTCCAGCCCAGACCCAATTCGACGTTGACCTTAGGTTGACTTTGACAGTTGACTTTGACTTTGACCCTTTTTTTTTGTCAATTTGAGTGCAATTTTAAATTCAGATATTGGTATGGTTATATATATTTTGAGATGAATTAATTGAAGTAACATGTCGCCAAAGTGACCTCTCTGGTGGAAATTAATTTGTTTTGGAATATAAACGATTGTGTATATGTAACTTATGTGAATATTGATCGGCCCAAACGAAGGTTAATATTTAACAGAATTGCATGTACACTTGTGGTAATGAACGCGTGATGATTACTCAGTTTTACATGTGAACAATAAATCGGCCCAAAAGAAAATTTATTGTTTGGCGTGTTCTTATTATCAGTATTTGATTACTGCACCAAGATATCACTTACAAGTTAATATTTGTCCAAAGATAAAATGTTAATAGAGCGCCCGGTATCTTGAGATGGGGTTTACCTTTATTTGAATTTATTTTTGTTTTGAGACTTATGTGAGCTTGTTTTGTTTGTTTGTTTGTTGTTCTCTGTTTAGCTATGACTTCTGCTAATATTACTGCCAACATCAACTCTATTCTTATGCTAAATTGCTCTAACTTTAAAGAGAACATATTGATGTTTCTCGGAGTCATGGATCTCGACCTTACATTAAGGGTTGATTCATCTCCACCTCTTACGGATAAGAGTACCTCTGATGAAAAGAGGGATATGGAAAGGTGAGAGAAATCAAATTGCATGTGTATGATGATCATGAAGAAGGCCATTCTGAAAGCATTCAGGGGCACAATGTCTGATAAGATTACTACGGCGAAGGAGTTTCTTGTGGACATTGAAAAGAGGTTTGTTAAGAACGAAAAGGCTGAAATAAGTACGCTCTTGACAAGTCTAATTTCAATGAGGTATAGGGGCAAAGGCAATATCAGAGAGTACATCCTAGAGATGTCTCATCTTACTTCAAAGTTGAAAGTACTTAAGCTTGAACTCTCTGAGGATTTGCTGGTGCATCTGGTTTTGATATCTCTTCCAGCACAGTTTAATCAGTTTAAGGTGAGCTACAACTGTCAAAAAGGGACTTGGTCTCTGAATGAGCTCATATCACACTATGTTCAAGAAGACGAAAGGTTGAAGCAAGATTGTAACGCCCTCCAGAATTAAACATGTTTAATTATGCTAAAATGTGAATTATTAGTGTGCCTAATTTAATTTTCACAATTAATCAATGGACTTTAAATTATTTTCAGTATTTATAATTTCACCTCAAAAGTTTTTGAAAATACACTTAAATTTTAATGCATTTCCCCTTTTTTCCATTTTTCTTTTTCTTTTCTTTTTCTTTTTTCTTTTTTGTTCTTTTCTTTTTTTCTTTTCCCCCTTTCCCTTCCTGTGCAGCCCAGCCCCCCCTCTCCTTCTTTTTCTTTTTTTTCTTCTTTCTTCCTCTGGTTCTCTCTCTCTCTCTCTCTCTCTCTTTCTTCCTTCCACCGCCGGCCACCTCCTTCTTCGGGCTTTCTCCTGCCGGCCTTTCTCTCTCCCTTGCTCTCTCTCCGGATTTCTCTCTCTCCCTCTCCCTCTCGGCAGTTTGGCCGAGAACCACAAAAAAAAAAACGAAAAACGGGAGAAATTGAGGGAGACAAAGCTCGAGCAACTGATTTGAGGTAAAACCCTTTGAAACCCACTCTTTGATTCGAATTTTAAGCTTGAGAAAGTTTGATTTTGATAAGATTTGAATAATTTTGAGTTAGCGTTTGAATCTGAACAATTGTTGTAGGAATTGAATGAAATTTGGGGGTTTTAGTTATTGGACTTGTTTAATTGATTGGAAACTGATTTTGATGGATTCTGGAGAATATATATTGAAATTGAACTTGAATTGCAAGTTTGAAATTTTTCTTATTTATGCCGGCATGCTGCCGAAATTTCTTTAAAAACTTATTTTTAAACTGAAATTAAATAGGAAACCAAACCCATGAATTGGATTTAAATTCCTAAACTAAATTATAAAACCATTTGTGAAACTTGGATTTGAGTCAAGGCACACTAATAGGAAACAATTAAACATGATTAAACTTAATTCGTTTTAGGAATGAGAAATATTTCCTAAGATATTGCTTTTGTGATAAAGCTAGTGGAGAAGGTTAAGTATTAAAGCTCTAAGGAAAGCGGAGGCTAGGAGAACGGAAGGCTAGCCCAGGTTTGACATCCGAGAGGTAGGATATTCTTGTCCATATCCTTATTAGCCTCACTTTAAATGATTTTGGCCAATGAAAATATTTTAGAACAAAACATGTTTAAAGAAAATGATTTTAAAGAAAATGCTATTAAGTTTTCCAGTGATTTTGGAAATGAGATTTTAAAGAGTATTATTTTTTAAAATGAAATATTTTAAGGAATGATACAACGCATGGTGGCTTCAGAGATCGGGATGTGGGAATCACATCCTTGGGGGCAGGTCCCGAAACTCGTACGGATCCACTTCTTGTTTAGTGGAACTATGGCTCTGCATTTTGCACTAGACAGACATTTTACCGCTTCTTGTTTAGTGGTATAATGAGCTGCACACTTTCATTATACAGACATTTTCTACTATGTGAGTATTTTCTTTTCTAAAAAGGGATGACCGGTCCCGAGTGTATGTCTTCGGACCGTGAGTACTTTTATTTACTATGTTTTATAATAATTATATCCTACTGGGCCTTTCGCTTACTTTTCTTGTTTTCAAATATATTAAACCCCTCCAAACGACGCGAGGAGTAGTGCGGAGTAGGTAGTTACTACCGGTGATGTGGACTTGACCTCGGGAAGCGAAGAGTTGTATCCTCTTATCCTTTATCTCAAGACATGTATAAAAGATTATGGATTGTAAACTTAAAAAATTACTAGACTGTGGTTGATGTCACATTTACTTTTGTTTATATTCATGTATGCTAAACACCTGTGGGAATTCCTGACTTGATACCAGGGACGTGATTTTAAACTGGTTTGGTTAGAAATTTCACCACCCTTCTTAAAATTAAATTTCTCTTGAATGCAGGGGCTTGTTTGGAAATACCTGGATGTTTTGGATTTGAAAAAAAAATTTAAAATATTTGCAACATTATTTGCTAATCACTCTCTTAAACAGGTTTAAATTTCTAAACAAGCCTCCACGTTACTAACCCCGGTTTGGAGGCGTGACAAAGATAAGGTAGGAAGTGCTCACCTGGCCTCAACCTCTAAAGACAAAGACAAGGGAAAGAAAAGGAAGAAGGAAGCTGCAGAAACGACACCTCAAAAGAAACAACAAAAGAAACCGGTTGAACCGGAAGATACGGATTGTTACTTCTGTAGAGTTGAAGGGCCTAAGAAGAAGTATTGCACCAACTATCACGCATGGCGTTCTAAGAAAGGTATGCTTCTAAATTTGGTTTGTTCTGAGGTTAATTTAACTTCGGTACCTAGACACACGTGGTGAATAGATTCTGGTGCAACAACTCAAATCAGTATGTCTATACAGGGTTGCCTGAGTTGCCGAAAGCCAAGTGATGGTGAAAAATACATCTATGTGGGCGATGGCAAGATGGTTCAAGTTGAAGTAATAGAAAAATTTAGATTATTATTAAAGACTGAATTATATTTGGATCTTGATGAGACATTTATTGTACTATCTTTTAGACATAATTTAATTTTTATTTTTGCTTTGGACAAATCTGGTTATTGTTGTTCATTTGGGAATAAAAAATTTAATTTGTTTCATGATTCAAAATTGGTTGGTTCCAGTTCTTTGTCAAGTTATGATAATTTTTATTTAATTGATACAATTACTTCATTTAATGAATCCCTGCAATTAAGTACACGAGGTATAAAGAGAAAATTAAGCAATGAGAATTCGGTTGCATTATGGCACAAGAGATTAGGTCATATCTCCAGACGGAGAATAGAGAGACTTGTGTCAGACGAAATTTTAGACTCCTTAGATTTTACAGATTTCGATGTTTGTGTTAACTGTATAAAAGAGAAACAACCCAATAAAAAGAGATTTGAAGCTAACAGGACTTTGGACGTTTTAGAACTTATACATACAGACATTTGTGGGTTATTCCCTACGGTTGCTTGGAATGATCAGCAATATTTTATGACGTTCATAGACGATTTTCTAGAAATTACTACATATATCTCATTCATGAAAAGTCAGTCGTTGGATGTGTTTAAAAATTATAAGGTTGAAGTTGAAAACCAACTCAGTAAAAGAATCAAAAGCGTCACATCTGACAGTGGTGGTGAGTACTATAGTAGATATGACGGTTCAAGTGAACAACGTCCAGGACCGTTTGCTAAGTTCCTAGAGGAATGCGGTATCGTCTCACAGTACACTATACCGGGTTCGCCCACTATCAATGGTGTTGCTGAAAAACGAAACAGAACACTTAAGGACATGACGAGGAGTATGATTTGTCATTCTACCTTACCAGAATCACTCTGGGGAGAAGCGCTTAAGACTGCAGCATATATCCTTAACAGGGTTCCAACTAAAGCGACTGTTAAAACCCCTTGTGAACTTTGGATAGGCAAGAAGCCTAGTTTAAAGCACTTGCATGTTTGGGGATGTCCAGCTGAGGCAAAACCTTATAGGCCTAATGAAAAGAAACTGACCTCAATGACGGTGAGTTGCTCTTTTATTGGATACTGTGAAAGATCCAGCGGGTACAAGTTTTATGATCCCACGCCTAAGTCGATTTTCAAGTCGGAAAATGTCCGGTTCTTTGAGGATGTCGAGTTTGCGGGGGGAGATGCAGTTAGGGACTTTGTCTTCGAAGATGAATATGTTGATATTCCCAAAGGTCCTATTAGCATTGATCAGGATCTTATTCCTGACTTTGTTCAAGACACAACAGATCAAGACAATGTCAGAGAACCTCCCATACAAGAAATTGTTACAGAAGAACAAACTCTGTCACCTCAAGAACCTATGACATTAAGGATGTCCACTAGAAAAAGGAGAAGTGCGGTGCCAGATGACTACATCGTATTTCTCCAAGAACATGAGGTAGACAGTGGAGTGATGGAAGATGATCCGATCAACTTCCGTCAAGCCATGAAAAGTTCTAACTCTCAAAAGTCAGAAGTGGATTGATGCCATGAATGAGGAGATTAAGTTTATGAAGGACAATGACGTGTGGGATCTTGTCCCATTACCAGAATGTGCGAAACTCATTGGTTGCAAATAGATATTTAAGACCAAGAGGGATTCGATAGGTGATGTGGAGAGGTACAAGGCACGTCTTGTCGCAAAGGGCTTTACACAAAAAGAATGCATCAACTATAAAGAGACTTTATCTCCGATTTTTTCAAAAGACTCTTTCAGGATTATAATGGCATTGGTGGCGCATTTCAATCTTGGGTTACATTAAATGGATGTAAAGACAACGTTTCTCAATGGAAATATTGATGAGACAATCTAAATGGTGCAACCAGAAAACTGTGTCGGGAGACCCAAAGAATATGTTTGCAAACTTAAGAAATCCATCTATGGGCTCAAATAAGCATCTTGACAATGGTATTTCAAGTTTTCATCAAGTGATCATCTCGTTTGGTTTTGAGATGAATTTGGTCTATGATTGTATATACCATAAGTTCTGTGAGAACAAGTATATTTTTCTGATTTTATATGTCGATGACATTTTGGTTGCCAGCAACGATATAGGCTTATTGCACGAAACCAAGAGATTTCTAGTTAAGAATTTTGAGATTAAAGATTTTTGTGATGCCTCTTTTGTATTAGGCATACGGATACACCAGGATCACTCTCGGAGTATTCTTGAATTATCACAAAATAGCTATATCGAAAAGATTCTCAAGAGATATTGCATGCTGGATTGCAAACCAGGTGATACCCCTGTGTCTAAGGGAGACAAGTTTAGTCTCAATCAGTGCCCTAAGAATGATTTTGAGAAAAAGGAAATGCAAAAGATTCCTTATGCGTAGCAGTAGAAAGTCTAATGTATGTTCAGATTTGTACGCGTCCAGATATTGTGTACGTTACTGAGATGTTGGGCAGGTATTTAAGTAAATCCAGGAGTATAACATTGGAAAGCAGCCAAACAGGTCTTGCAGTACTTACAGAGAACAAAAGACTACATGCTCACATATCGGAGGTCAGATCAGCTTGAGATCGTTGGGTATACTGACTCCGATTTTGTTAGATGTCAAGATGTATGAAATCTACATCGGGCTATATCTACCTGCTAGCAGGAGGTGCTGTCTCCTGGAAGAGTGCTAAATAGTCTCTTATAGCATCTTCTACCATGGCGGCAGAGTTCATAGCATGTTATAAGACGTCCAATCACGGATTATGGCTGCGGAATTTTGTCACGGGGCTGCGCATAGTGGACGGCATTGAAAGGCCGTTGAAGTTATTTTGTGATAATAAGTCAGCAGTGCTGTATTCCAACAACAACAGGAGCTCGACGAAATCAAAGCATATAGACATCAATTTCCTAGTCGTCAAGGAAAGAGTTCAAAGTGAACAATTGTCTATAGAGCACATCAGTACAAACTCCATGGTTGCGAATCCGCTTACTAAGGGATTGTCATCCAAAGTGTTTTATGAGCACACTGCTCGTATGGGTGTCATGTCATTAGAGGATATTCAGTTTTAGTGGGAGTTTGTAATTTTAGATGCTTTTATGATATAGACATATTTTCAGTTATTTCAATTTATGGATATTTTGAGGTTATTTTCTGCAGAAATAAAGTTTTGGTTTATTCACACTCTGATTTTGGTATGGTTTGATCTCACTAAGGTTTAAGGTGGACCAATTGGAAATAAGCATGTTAAGATCACATTACATGAAATTTCCATGCTAAACATCGACATCATGATCCATGTCATTCAGTTGTATTGGCATACGTGACCATTGATAGGTCGAGTTACGACAGTTGTAACGAATGCCGCTTTGATCCTATGTTGGTATGATTGATGGACCGGATTGGTTATAGATACATTTCGGTAATTACAGCAAAGTTGAGCTCATACGGTTATTTTTGCAAAGCATAATTATAAAGTTACACACATAGCCCAAGTGGGAGATTTGGGCTTATATGTTAATAATTATGTGTTGTGGGTTGTCATATAAGGTTAAGCCCAATTAAAAGTGATCTACTAAGCTTTGGGTATTTTGGGCTTTAATATATCTAATAGGGTGTGAGCCTTTAATGTGTAGAGATTTAAGGGTAATTTTTATTTTTATGATGGGCTAAAATAGAAATATCAAAATATAATAGGTAAGTTATCTATATATAGCGGTTATGGTCTCCAGATCGCACGTTACATTCTATTCTTTCTACATCCTATCATCAAAGAGAGTACAGAGAGAAAGTTCAAGAGTTCTCTAGGAAAACGTGTTGATCTGGAAGACAAACTGCACGGCTCTAGAGAGAAATTAGTCAATATGGATTCAGGTACGCTTCTGCTTACAGATTTATTAATTCTTGACGATCTAACATGAATGTTCTTGACTTTTGGGTGATGATTTTCACTAAATTATTGATTTCTAACAGAAATAACAAAGAAAGTTCGACTCATTTTGAATAAGAAACTAATAAGATAGAAGTTTTTGAAGAGGATAAAATAAATTGTTTCTTTGAGGATAAGAAGCAGAAAAAAGCTGATAGGTAGTGAAACATGCATTAATTTGAAGTTCTAGAAAATAGATGATATTTGAAGATCCAAAAGATAAGGTGGCGGCCAAAGGAGATTTAGCTAGCCCGCACATTCTTTTAGAGTTGAGGATTCACAAATTTCAATACCATTGGTGCCAAAAATAAGGCAGCATCTGTGACGCGAGAAGTTATCACAACGTCAGGTTGATGCTTTTCCAGACATTCGACTATGGGAGCAGCTCCAAGATATGTGCTAATACCCTACACCAGTGATACCAACGAGATAATATCCACCTTTTCAAGAAGAATGTTAGAGCAAAAGATAGCAAACATTGATATGGATCGAACTCTTTACTTTTGATAAATTATAAAATGGAAGGTTAACCCTGAACCATGCCACTGAAATGTCAATGAAACAGAAATTATGCATGCAAAATAACATCAACTTCTAGAAATACAAAATTATCTAAGAGGTACTAGAATCTTACGCCTTCCTTGATGTAGGATTTCTCATGAGAGGATCCTAAACCTATGTGAACAATAACATGGTAATTAGTTCAGTAATAGGACTTTGTGTTGTTCTATAAATGAATAAAAAGCTAACTCAGATTGTGCAATAATCCAAATATATCAGAGTCCAGAAATTCTTTACAATGTGTCTGCAGATGATTTAGAACCTCCTAAGGTGAATTGAAATACCTGTGTTACTGATAGAAACCTCATGAGCCACACCAACAGCTATATTAAGTCCCAGGCTGTTTGCTATTTCTATAACCTTCTTCTGCGCACCAGATGGATCCACTACCCAGAAAAGAAAATAAAATACTCAAAATAAAGTAATACAATGCATTTGATCCATAGAAAAGCAAATGAAAGCAGTGTTTTCAGATTGAATATTAATATTAGTTTAGCTTGCAATTCTTACTTGCACCCATGTTGGTGATTATGCAAGTTCCTCTCGCCACAGCTAAAGGTAGAAGCAAGCGCATCCAATCCGAAACTGCACGTTGATTGTAAATCACCGGAATAAATCGTAGGATTCAACACAAAAGTAAATCAAGATAAGTAGCATGAAGCATTTAAACCAAGAAAAGATGCAATCATTCGGCAGTTCCTGAACTAATTTTTTGCAATTAACTGGTGTAGTTCTCAGAGTTTGACACGCATTAACTATTAACAAATATAAAACTTCACATATAAAGAAGTACAAACTTTCAAGGACATGTAAAAATGTCTAATCCCATCCTTGTGCAGAACAGAATAAACCTTCAAGTACCATATTTCAGAAAGCTAATATAAGAAAAACATATCATAACTGACAAAAATAACAGGGACATACTCCGCGAATCAAAACCATCGCCACCTGACACCATAACCTGATATCGATCAGCAAGGGTGCGCTCCGCTAGGCATTCAAGTACAAGATAATTCAGCTGTTTCACTCTCTGAAGCAACTTAAGAGCTGCCAAGGGCCTATCACCTCCAAAACCAGCTCCACAGCCAATGTACACCTTCTCCCTTCGTTTTGGGGGATTTTCTCTCTGCAGTTCAATTCAACCCCAAAATACTCAAACTCTATTTCATTTCTAAATTTGCTTTAACTGAACAAAGCTATAAATGAATGATATTAAATTGTTACCAGCTTAATCACACAATCATGAATCTCATCTTTGTCATCATGGGTTTCCATTTTATACGCAAAATAGTCCCTGGAGAAGGCAACAAATTTTACTTTTTAGAACCTCCATACATAACTGGTAAATTATTAGTCTCCAGTTTTCTGGGAATCAATCTATCAGTTGTTAACAAATGCCCATGAATTCATGTTCCCATAAAAGGCAATTTATCATGCGATATGAGTGTTCGATCTCCCAGAATGAAAAATGGGATTTGTGTGTGCTTAAAGCTTCAAGAGTAGTGATTTGCGAAATAGAAATTAGATTTACAATGTAGACTTTTAGACAATAAGATTAACGATTTGATGGAAAAAAAGAAAAAACAAAAACAAAAAAGTTTGTTTCAAAAGATTGAGCGTCGTACCTGGCAAGTCCCTAAGCTACAAAAGCATGAACAATGAATGACTCTTCTTGAGAAACTGGGCTCCGTCCTATTGGTCTTTTTGGTGCTAAGACAGCTGTCGTTTGTTTCTCTTTAAAACTTGCTGTTGTTTAATAATTACAGCGACGTGTCGTTTTAGTTGGAACTTTGGTTGCCATGTGTTAGAAAACTACACCTCGATTAGATATTTAAAGCATGTTTGGTAAAAAGATTCAAATGCGCCGATTCAAATGGTATGATTCAGAATTATAGTTTATAATTTTAATTTTAAAAATTTAAATTATTTATGAGAAAAAAATATTATAATAAATTAAAAATTATAATTTTAGATTAGGTAAAAAATTTTAAAATAAATGAAGCATTAATAATTTTTTATTATAATATTTTTATGTGGACTTCTATAATCATAATAATGCATTATATAATTAATTAAAATATTTTATAGATAACTGTGTTAATGTGAATTAACATGTGTATATATATGAAATATCAGTTCATAATAAGATTGACACTTATTTTATTAACTCGCTTAGGCATATGAACTCACTCTTTCTAAATATTCTAAATATTTGGTCTGCCCATTAGGCCAAATTTCCTCTTTATCAATAAGTTTGGTTGAGGCCCAACAAGGCCTAATTGCCTAAGGTTGCAGCACAAAACCAGAGGAGAAAAAATTTTGCGGGGGTTGTTGGTGTCTCGGGAAAAGATAGGCAGAGAAGAGAAAGAGTTGAAGAACTCTTCAAGCCCCTTTGTCATTCAAACACCAATTCCGACTGGTTTTGAACGTTTTTTAGAAACCATGAACAATTCTATATGCTTCAAAATCCATATGACAATGTATTTTTGGGTTTGATTGTTTTTTGATCTCATTTATGAGTATTGAGAACTCATTAGTTCTAGTAAATTGTATCAGAGCTTAATTTCTTGGATTTGTGGCTATAGTTTTATTTATTTATTTATTTTTTTTGGTTTACTGCACGTTCCTCCATAGGGTTTTGGTTTTTATGGGTTTTTGAGTGAAATTGATGTTTGAAAACCAAATAGAATAAAATTTGGAGCAAAACCCATCTAAGAACGTCAAAAATGGACCACCGGAGCTCAGTTTTCCAGTGGGTCGGGTCACGGATTCGACTGAGTCTCATTTGCAGTTTTCAGAGCTCAGGGAACCTTGAAACAACATGTCATTTTTCATCCTTGTGGGAAAATGACATGTCGTTTGAAGGAGGAATTGTGGCTGTCGTGTGAGTGAAACGACATGTCATTTTCAATAAGCCCAAAACGACATGTCGTTTCTGGAGACTAAAAAAAAGGCAGTGGTGCATTTAATGCGTCAGCTGGAGCGTGCTTCAAACACGCTAGAAAAAGGTGCACACCAGTGCGCGTCAGGGCCTAGTGGCGCACGTAGGACCCATTTTTAGGCCAAATTCTGCCCTATTTTGTGATTTTAACTCCATTGCGCTCCATTTTTCATTTCCTACCCATTTATATGATTTATTTTGGGTTTAGGCCACCATAAAATCATGTTTTTAATATTTTTATATTATTGATTGTATATTTTTATGGGGGGCTAATTCTCATAATTTTCACACAAATTTTTTCTGGGCATTTCGTATACAATTTGTTTAATGATCAATGCCATAAAATTTATATTATGTTGTTATTATTATATGACATATTTAATTGTGAGAATTCGACAATAATGAATGTTTATGTACTTGCTTGTCGTGAGTCAAAACATGTCAAATTGTCTGCGTATGTTACGGAACTCTCCCACAAAATTTAACATTTCCTTTTAAAAAATGCATTGGAATAAACACACTCCTTACATGGATGCGCATGACCTACTAGAAAATAGTTTTATTTAAATATTTGTTTATTGTAATAATTTTCATATATTTTCTGGATAGTTTTAATTCTCACTATTTTGAGACCTAAAATGTCACGATCCCAAGGATAGGGCTGTGATTATTGAGATATAATTAAAGAAAATTAACTTAATTAAACTAGATTAATTAAGAAAAATCCGTGAAAATAAAATAAAATATACAAACACCAAAATAGATATTAAAATATATTACACCGGAGTCTTTCTTTTACAAACAATATTTAAAACAGTCTATAAAATTCAAGAAAAATAGTACAACTCTGGGACAATGTCGACCAATACAGTTTATATACAAAAATACAGTACATCTCAGTAGTAAAAACTGTAAATTCAAAACAAACTAACCACTTCAAATCTCGCACCTTCAATCCATTAGCATCCACTCGTCATGCTATAAATCTAAACCGCTAACTCTGGATGGGGTTTAAAACATTGAAAACATAAAAAAAAAAATGAGCAGAAGGCCCATAGGATATAATTCTATAAAAATTTAATAATTAAAGTACTCACGGTCCGAAGACATACACCCAGAACGGATCATCCTTTAAAGAAAGGAAATGCTCACGTAATAGTAGCAAAATATCTGGATAATGAAAATATGCAAAGCTATAATATCACCACTGAGCAAGAAGTGGCCCGTACGGGTTTCGAGACCTACCCCCGAGGATACAATTCCTATGTTCTGATCTATGTGGCCATCATGTGTTTTATCATTTCTTAAAATATCTCATTTTAAGAAAGAAAACTCTTTAAAATCTCATTTCCAAATTATTGAAAACTCAATAGCATTATTCATGCTATTTCCTTTAAAATTATTTCTTTCTTTAAACATGTTTTGTGTTTAAAACATTTTCATAGACAAAAATAATTTAATTATGGCTATCAAGGACATGGACAATAATATCCTACCTCTCGGATATCAAACTTGGGCTAGCCTTTCGTTATCCTAGCATCCGCTTTCCTCAAAGCTTTTAATCTGATCCTTCAATTAACATTGTCACAAAACAAAGTTTTAGGACACAATCCTCATTCCTAAAACAAATCAAGTTCAATTATGTCTAATTGTTTCCTATTAGTGTGACTTTGCTCAAATCTGAGTTTCACAAACAGCTTTATAATTCAGTTTGGGGATTCTTTAAAAATGAAATCCAATTCATTGGTTTGGTTTCCCATTGAATTTCGACTTAAAAAAATAAGTTTTTAAATAAATTTCGGCAGCAAGCCGGCATAAATAGGGAAAATGTCAAACCTGCAATTCAAGTTTAATTTCAAAATAAATTCTCCAGAAATCATCAAAACCAGTTTCCAATCAATTCAACAAGTCTGATAATTAAAAATCCCAAAATTTAATTCAATTATAACAACAATTATTCAAATCCAAACCCTAACTCAAAATTATTCAAATCCAACCAAAATTACAAATTCTCAAGTCAATAACTCAAATTCAAGTATGGGTATTCAAGAAATCTTTACCTCGAAGTGATTGAAGCTCGTTTCCCTCTATTTCTCTTGTTTTTTGTTTTTTTTCTCTTCCCTGTTTCAGCAGGGAGTTCAAGAGAGAGAGAGAGAGACCCAAAGAGAGAGAGAGGTGGAGAAAGGGGGGGAGTGGTGGCCGGCGATGAAGGAAGAAAGAGAGAGAAGGAGTTGCCGTGGAGAACCAGAGGAGAGAGAGCGATAAGCAATGACACCGACTCGTTGCACGATTTGGAATGGTCCAATGTATCTTGGTACAAGTTTCCCTTTCACACCAAAATGAGTGATTCCTTTGTACGGTGAAACTCTTAATAAGACAAAGTCACCTTCTATCAGTATAGCTCTTCATTTAATCAAACTTGGATTATCTAATAGGATTCCGTCAACTTAGTCAGTCTTTTAATCTCACACACGGGCTGATTTAATGTCCGTTATGGAAATATGTGCAAACCGTATTACGTGTCACCAGAGGGTAGAAAACTAGTTTTGAATGAAAATAGACATCCATGCCTTTCCAACAAGCTATCACACGCCCTATTTCAAATATTCTAAGCCTTTCAAACACATCTTACAAGAAATTGGAATTCTGAAACTTCAACTTTTCAAGGCATTTTGAAAAGTTTCTAAGCAAAACTTCAACTATGCATATCTCGGTCTACAAAACTCCAAACAGAGTGATTCCAAGTGCTACACATCACTAGTAATGAACACTAAATGGTAGGCTAAGTGTTTTAAGTGCAGCAATCTCGGTTCTAGAAGTTGGGGTTTAAAATCACACTTTTTACGTTATGCCAAGAACGCAATTTTGACATTTCTGACAAAGATGATCATAAAACATTCCACATAACTCTAAAGGGTATAAATCTAGTTTCTGAATAAAGTAGACACCTAGAGCTTCAAAACGAGCTATGATATGCCCAGATCTAAGCTCTCTAAGTACCTCAAAAATAGTTTCTAAGAAATCAAAATTCTATTATTGTCTGATTTTGACAGCTTTCGAGAAGTTTTTGGCATGAAACTTCCAATGCTCAAAACTCGGGTTACAAAACTCCAAATGACGAGATTTTAACTCCCACACGTCATAATAACATGTACTAAATGGTAGCAACAGTGGTTTAGGTGCAGCAATGCTATTTCAAAAAAGTAAGGGTCCTAGTTCTTTATTTTATCAATTCTTAGAAAAAATAACTTTGGCGGCTGTTACGGGAATAATCATAAAATATTTTACATAGCCCCAAAAATTATAAAATCAGTGCCTAGTCGAAGTAGACATCTAGGGCTTTCTAAAAAGATATCATAAGCTTAATTTTGAGTCTATTAATATCTCCAAAAATACATTATATCTGATCAAAACGTGGCTATTTTTCTGCAGAATTTCAGAAACTATGTTTAACTTCAAAAATGCATAACTTGAGCTACATTTGTCTATTTGAGGTGATTCTTGTGGCTATACGAAGCTTAGGATGCCTAGTTTCCAATTATGTGACCCATTCATTCAAATTCATCTCCAAAGATTTCCAGAATTCAACAGTATCAAACCTGTCCAGGTTAGGTTCCTTGACACTTTTCTGACAAATTGAAAAATTCATAACTTAAGCTACAAAACTCCTTTTTGGGTGATTCAAATCTCCTATCAAAGCTTGAAAAGTCTATTTCAAGGTTCTAGCATAGCTAATATTAAACCTTATTGAG